TGCTGGTGTGGGTGAGTCGAGTGGTGAGTTTAGTGCTGGTGTGGGTGAGTCGAGTGGTGAGTTTAGTGCTGGTGTGGGTGAGTCGAGCGGTGAGTTTAGTGTTGGTGTGGGTGAGCCATGTGGTGAGTTTAGTGCTGGTGTGGGTGAGTCGAGTGGTGAGTTTAGTGTTGGTGTGGGTGAGTCGAGTGGTGAGTTTAGTGCTGGTGTGGGTGAGTCGAGTGGTGAGTTTAGTGTTGGTGTGGGTGAGTCGAGCGGTTAGTTTAGTGTTGGTGTGGGTGAGCCGTGTGGTGAGTTTAGTGCTGGTGTGGGTGTGTCGAGTGGTGAGTTTAGTGTTGGTATGGGTGAGTCGAGTGGTGGATTTAGTGATGGTGTGGGTGAGTCGAGTGGTGAGTTTAGTGTTGGTGTGGGTGAGTCGAGTGGTGAGTTTCGTGTTGGTGTGGGTGAGTCGAGTGGTGAGTTTCGTATCAGTATTGCTGAACCTGTGTGGTGGACAGATAGATGCACACAGGTACGGGCACACACGTTGACACACAGACGACGGACAGACACACTGATGGAAAATAAATATCATCCAAGCAGCTGCCTTATCACAGGCAACGCCACACACACACAAACACGGGGGGCGGAGAGGGCGTTGACTCTGCTAATCAACTCCAGCAGCAGCTGCTGCAGCTGGAGAGGCTCCAATTCAAGTAGCTTCGTCACGAGGGTTTCTCCCTTCCGCTCTCTCGCCCTCCTTGCCACGTCGTCAGCCCTGCTGCACTAATTGCTGCCCCTCGTGGCGTGCCCTGACGCGCCTCTTCCTGGGACCCACGCCGCGCCTGCAGCGGTGGCCCCTCGTGGCACCGTCACGGGGTTCAAAGTTGCCCACCAATTCTGGCCGACTCACGATTCCGTAAGGGGCCGTCCATAAATTACGTCACGGACCTAGGGGGGGGGGGGGGGGGTGAGAAATGTGACGTCACATGAAAATGCGCGACTGTAAATAACAACAACACGTTCTACTTAATTAAATAGACTTTTTAATAAATGTTTTCTCCTACAACATCAGAGTGCAGCGCCACATTAAATACGCACTACAATGACAATAGTTTAAAGCGATTTGAAGCATGTTTTATATTTGGGGGAGGGGGGGGGGCAGAGCTTTGTGACGTCATATTTGAGTGGGGGTCTGGCTTTTTGTGACGCCGTGTGACTAGGGGGGGGGTCAAAAATCGTTCAAAATCGCGTGACGTCATTTATGGACGGCCCCTAAAGAGCAGATGTTGTGCTACGGGAGACTGACATTTTTTTGCTGCCAGGCTCCGCGATTGTGAAATCCCCTTCCTCGAGTCTGGCAGTTTTTATTTTTTAAATCGCCGAATGAAACTCGGCTCGCTGTTACAGCGGGGGGCCTTCTCCCGGAACGTAAGCTTCACGTGAAACGCTTTTGAGGCCTTATTGCGAATTGCGTGATAGAAAGCCACGATTATGTTGTTATGTGTTGTTGTTCTTACAACTCAATTTGGCGCGTCTGTAAAACAGGCCGGGTCGGCCTAGCGGGACGGCGGAGGACCGGTTCGGATGTATCGTCGCCGATGTCGGCCGTGCATGAGCGGGACTCGAACTCGGGTGGCCGGGTCTGAAGTGCGGTGCGCTCATGGCTCCGATACCGCGTGTAGGAACACGTTCTCTGTATAGGAACATGCCCTCGTATAGGAACACGCGCTCCGTATAGGAACACGCGCTCCGTATAGGAACACGCGCTCCGTGTAGGAACACGCGCTCCATGTAGGAACACGCGCTCCGTGTAGGAACACTCGCTCCGTGTAGGAACACGCGCTCCGTGTAGGAACACGCGCTCCGTGTAGGAACACTCGCTCCGTGTAGGAACACGCGCTCCGTGTAGGAATACTCGCTCCGTGTAGGAACACGCGCTCCGTGTAGGAACACTCGCTCCGTGTAGGAACACGCGCTCCGTGTAGGAACACGCGCTCCGTGTAGGAACACTCGCTCCGTGTAGGAACACGCGCTCCGTGTAGGAACACGTTCTCTGTATAGGAACATGCCCTCGTATAGGAACACGCGCTCCGTATAGGAACACGCGCTCCGTATAGGAACACGCGCTCCGTATAGGAACACGCGCTCCGTGTAGGAACACGCGCTCCATGTAGGAACACGCGCTCCGTGTAGGAACACTCGCTCCGTGTAGGAACACGCGCTCCGTGTAGGAACACTCGCTCCGTGTAGGAACACGCGCTCCGTGTAGGAACACTCGCTCCGTGTAGGAACACGCGCTCCGTGTAGGAACACTCGCTCCGTGTAGGAACACGCGCTCCGTGTAGGAACACGCGCTCCGTGTAGGAACACGCGCTCCGTGTAGGAACACTCGCTCCGTGTAGGAACACGCGCTCCGTGTAGGAACACGCGCTCCGTGTAGGAACACGCGCTCCGTGTAGGAACACGCGCTCCGTGTAGGAACACGTGCTCCGTGTAGGAACACGCGCTCCGTGTAGGAACACGCGCTCCGTGTAGGAACACTCGCTCCGTGTAGGAACACGCGCTCCGTGTAGGAACACGCGCTCCGTGTAGGAACACTCGCTCCGTGTAGGAACACGCGCTCCGTGTAGGAACACTCGCTCCGTGTAGGAACACGCGCTCCGTGTAGGAACACTCGCTCCGTGTAGGAACACGTGCTCCGTGTAGGAACACTCGCTCCGTGTAGGAACACGCGCTCCGTGTAGGAACACGCGCTCCGTGTAGGAACACTCGCTCCTTGTAGGAACACGCGCTCCGTGTAGGAACACGCGCTCGGTGTAGGAACACTTGCTCCGTGTAGGAACACGCACTCCGTGTAGGAACACTTGCTCCGTATAGGAACACGCGCTCCGTGTAGGAACACTCGCTCCGTGTAGGAACACTCGCTCCATGTAGGAACACGTGCTCCGTGTAGGAACACTCGCTCCGTGTAGGAACACGCGCTCCGTGTAGGAACACGCGCTCCGTGTAGGAACACGCGCTCCGTGTAGGAACACTCGCTCCGTGTAGGAACACGCGCTCCGTATAGGAACACGCGCTCCGTGGGCACACAGTGGAGTTCATCGCTGAGCTCGGCTCAAGGCGACTTCCCGCTCAAGCAAGAACCGAGGCAATGCTCATTTCCTTTCTATGACCCCCAGTCAGGAATGCCATTTCCACATTGCAATGGCAGGGGGCGAGTCTATCCAAAGAACAACCACTCCCTGATTAAACCACGATTATCAAGGTTGGTGAATTGGTGATCCCAGCCGGCTCACCGCTTACTGTGCAAAAAACCGATAATTAACTTTGGGGTTTCACTCAATAATGTAATTAACTAGTAATTAATTAATTAATCGTCCAGGAGAGCCACGATGAGTCGTAAGGCTCTTTTTGAGGAGGCTCCTGCTGCTGCTACGTTGGGTTTTTATTTGTAAGATGTTCAGCCAATCAATGTTGAGCTGTGTTTATTATTGATGAGTTAATGACGTGTCGTGTTTATTATTATTATTATGAATCACGTGAGAGGAGGGAACCGGAGCACCCAGAGATAACCCCACGCTTTGCGCGAGGGGGAAACACTCCATCCCCATACAGACCGAATAATAAACAGATGGCGATTATCCAACTTGCTGTACCGTCTTCTACCTGGTGAGCCGGGGTACGGCTCCTCCTCGACACCCACGGGAAGGAAGTTTCACACCCCCATCTGTGTGTAATCCACCAACCCTCGCTGCTGCCTCCACAGTGCTGGGTGAGAGGCAGCCACATGCATCAGCGTGGCCACCACCACCACTGCCCAGACGAACACCACGAGCACAGGGCTCATGGGAGAGTGCAGGTCCTTGCGTGTGGACACGCGGTCACGTGAAGGGCTCTCGGAAGTAGCTCTGTGATATCTATTTCCACGGCGATTCCTCGAACATGGGGCAATGCGCTCCTCTGCGGCTCTGAATGGACACTTCGTCTCGTGTGGTGTGATGTGATGTGGTGTGATGTGATGTGGTGCGGTGTGATGTGGTGCGGTGTGATGTGGTGCGGTGTGATGTGGTGTGATGCGGTGTGGTGTGATGTGGTGCGGTGTGATGCGGTGCGGTGTGATGCGGTGCGGTGTGATGCGGTGCGGTGTGATGTGGTGCGGTGTGATGTGATGCGGTGCGGTGTGATGCGGTGCGGTGTGATGTGGTGCGGTGTGATGTGATGTGGTGCGGTGTGATGTGGTGCGGTGTGATGTGGTGCGGTGTGATGTGGTGCGGTGCGATGTGGTGTGATGCGGTGTGATGCGGTGCGGTGTGATGCGGTGCAGTGTGATGCGGTGTGATGCGGTGCGGTGTGATGCGGTGTGATGCGGTGCGGTGTGATGTGGTGTGATGCGGTGCGGTGGTTGCGGTGCGGTGGTTGCGGTGCGTGTGGTGCAATGTGCATGGTGTGGTACGTGGCATGAGCGGTGTGGCGTGTGCGCATGGTGAGTGTGGGGTACGTGGTGTGTCCGGTGTACGGTGTGGCGTGTGCGCATGGTGAGTGTGGGGTACGTGGTGTGTCCGGTGTTCGGTGTGGCGTGTGCGCATGGTGAGTGTGGGGTACGTGGTGTGTCCGGTGTACGGTGCGGTGTGTGCGCATGGTGAGTGTGGGGTACGTGGTGTGTCCGGTGTACGGTGTGGCGTGTGCGCATGGTGAGTGTGGGGTACGTGGTGTGTGCGCATGGTGAGTGTGGGGTACGTGGCGTGTGCGCATGGTGAGTGTGGGGTACGTGGTGTGTGCGCATGGTGAGTGTGGGGTACGTGGCGTGTGCGCATGGTGAGTGTGGGGTACGTGGCGTGTGCGCATGGTGAGTGTGGGGTACGTGGTGTGTCCGGTGTACGGTGCGGTGTGTGCGCATGGTGAGTGTGGGGTACGTGGTGTGTGCGCATGGTGAGTGTGGGGTACGTGGTGTGTCCGGTGTACGGTGCGGTGTGTGCGGTCCATGCTGACGGTGTGCGGTTTGTGCGGTGCGACTTGTGCAGAGGCTCTGCGCCCTCATCTGCATCATCACGACCTTGTTGCTGTTGGCTTGGGCTCTCCGGATCTCCGACTTGCAGGTGAGCAATGGGGCTCACTCGCACCCTCGCCATCGCCCTCAGCAATCGCGCTCTCATCTGCTCCGGAGTGATTTAGCGACTCGTCGATTTTCATCCCAGAGGTAGTTCTGTAGTATCCCCTTCCAGGGGCTGTTCGCTGACACCAAGGAGGGTCGCGTTGCTCTGCGCCGATAGCCCAGGTGGGACAAACCTCGCTGCTGGGCTGCTGGCTCTCCGATGCGTGTTCGCGTCGCACCGCGTGTCGCCCGGCACGATGTCTGGCAGGAAACGAGAGATCGCGCCGATCGTCGCCGTGCGACAACGCGAGCATTCCAGCCTTCGCAGTAACGCCGCGAATTTTATTTTTGAAGGTGATTCCTCCTTCCTCCGCTGTCCCCGCGGAGCTCACCGAGCCTCAGCAGCGTCGGCAGCAGCTGATGAAACAGGAGCAGCAGCATCAGCAGCAGCAGCAGCATCAGCAGCAGCATCAGCAGCAGGGGCGGGTGGAGGAAGCTGGCCCCGAGGATGCATCGGTGCCCTCCGATCACGGCGCAGGGCGCAGCCCGGAGTCCACTGCGGCGCGACACCGACCGCCCGGCGCCACGCAGCACCGCAGAGCGCCGCCCGGCAGGCCTCCCGAACGAGGGCGGCGCGGCACCACGCCTGGCGCCAGACAGCCGCTCCCCGCCAGGCCTCTCCGCGGCTACGTGGGCGTCCCGCACGGGGAGGTGAGCGGGGCGGCGCCGCCGCGTGACGACGCCGCGTGACGGCGCCACGAGACGTCGTGCCGCGTGACGGCGCTTACGATTTATTGCGCGACGAAGACGACGACGATAACGATCGCGACTCCTCCGTGTGCCCCCGTGCAGCCGCTGCGCCTGCGCTGCGGGGACTGCGCCCTCGTGTCGAGCTCGGGCCAGATGCTGGGCACCGGCGCGGGGCGCGACATCGACGGCGCCGAGTGCGTGTGGCGCATGAACAACGCGGTGCTCGCCCCGCGCTACCGCGACGACGTGGGCGCCCGCGCGAGCGTGCGCGTGGTGTCCCACACGAGCGTGCCGCTGCTGGCGCGCGCCGCCGCCGCCTTCTTCGGCAACGGCAGCGACAACACGCGTGAGCACGGGGGGGGGGGGGGGGACCTGGGGGTAGGGGAGGGGGCGGGGAGATACCTGGGGGAGGGAGTTTTCTTGCCGCACGACGATAAAAACAAAGACCCCCCCCCCCCCTACTGTGGCCTACCCAGGCTGTTGGGGCAAGGGCGATGTTTGCACACCGCCCCAGGTGGTCATTTGAGGCTGAGTCAACCTAGGGGAGGCCCAGGACCGGTTCAGATAACAATCGTCACTGGTGTCGGTGGCCGTGAGTGGGACTTGAACTCGCCTCGCCGGGTTTGCAGCGCAGCGCGCTAACCACCCCCCACACACACGGATACCAACACGGACGTGTGAGCCGCGCCTCCTCTGCGCCCCCCACCCTCGCCCCCTGCAGAGGGCAACGCCACGTACGTGATCTGGGGCCCCCGCAGGAACATGCAGCGCGACCCCCCGGGCACCGTTTACCGCATCCTGCTGGCGCTGAAGTCGCGCTTCCCGTGGGCGCGAATCTTCACGCTCACCGACGAGCAGATGCAGCGGTGCGACGAGATCTTCAAGAACGAGACGGGCAAGGACCGGTGAGACCCAGCGGGGGGGGGGGGGGGGGGGGAGGACACGGGACAGAGGGAGGGGGGAGCGATTGAGATCCCGAATCAGATATTTGACGTTGCCTGTGCTGGATTCGGATTCTCTGAACTATTGGTTCTGATGATCCGAAACCCTGAGACGGATTTTAAAGATCCCTTTGCCAGATCTAGATAATCTGAAACACCATGTAGTAAAACCCTACTCACGGAGCGTGGCGAGTAGAGGTCATAATCCCACTTTGTGAGTAAATCCGATCAGCTCCAGCGCTGCGCACATCAACCTGCCCCGCCAACCTGCCCCGCCAATGCTGCCTTTGCTGCTGCTGTGTGGGTTGTCGCGGTTGTGCTAACCGCAAGGCTGTCTAGGCGGTGCGTCGTGGTCGTTGTTGGGTTGTCTTCACGCGTCGTTCGGCACGACGCCCGGCGTTTGGCTCCGCGTGCCGGGAGCTTCGGTGCAACGCATCTCCTCATCCCTCATTCCCCTCCCCCCACCCCTCCCGCAGCCCGCCTCTACTTCATCTTCCATGATTAATTAATTAACGGTCGTAAGTCCGCGCGGTTGCCGCCCGCGTGCTCGCTCGCTCTCGTAGCGCGCGGGCCGATCGTCAGGAAGGGAGGCCCCGCTGGGTTTCGCGGAGCCCAGGCTGCGGTAGTTGTGCTGTCTGGCGCGACGGTGAGCGCTGCTGCGTGCGGTCCCACCAATGGAGTCATTTTAAGGTGTCACGGTCACAGATTTGGTCCCAAGCTGAAGCCAGGTACAGTGCGTGTATCGTGAAGTGCTTTGCAAAATGAGTGCTCTGTAGAGATGATGATGATGATAATGATGATGATGTGAACAAGCACTCACTCCTCCCCTCCTCCACCTCCTCGCGTCGTGGTGTGGCGTGGCGTGCTGTGGCGTGGCGTTGCGTGGTGTGGCGTGGTGCGGCATTGCGTGGTGTGGTGTGGTGTGGTGCGGCGTGGCGTTGCGCGGTGTGGCGCAGGCTGAAGTCGGGCGCGTACCTCAGCACGGGCTGGTTCACCATGGTGCTCGCCATGGAGGTGTGCGACAGCATCCACGTGTACGGCATGATCGACGACGCCTACTGCAGGTGCCTCACCATCACTCACCCACTCACTCTCGCTCACCATCTCTCACTCGCACATAACTCTACTACAGATGCCCATTCCTTATTCTCATTGACCCTTACTCACTCCCCCACTCACCCATAACTCTACTGCTTCATCGATAACACTGTGGCCTTAAAAATAAAAGGTATATAATCGGTACCGCAGTGGACAATGGCCACTCTTCAGAGCACATAGAGAGTGAGCCGGTACCAAATTCCCCCGCAAGCTCTGTGGTCCCTTATATATTAAGGTGTAATCAACACGTGGGAGGAAACCAGAGCACCGTCATCCATACAGATGGAACAGGTGGAGTCCACAATAAACTGATCAAAGTGAATTACAGTCGTTTATAAACTGTACTGGATCCGTTGGTTTTCACTTACGTTGACTCTAATTGGCCAACATAAAAAAAAACCTGTACATCACTACAATAATAATGTGGGCAGCAGCACAATCGCTCGGTGCAATGTGATATTTGCGCGGTATAATCTGACATTTGTTTTTATATAAATAGAAATCTAATTTCCTTATCCCTGCGAGCGACGTGCCCTGCCCACGCTCACGCATTTTCACATAGAGCGCGACGGTCGCGGGGCTGGAACTCAAAAAAGCAGACAAAGCACAGCCTCGGTGACGCGAGGAACACGCACGCCGGCACACCCGCGCCCGCCTGTGCATCCAATGAGCGTGCGATGGCGCAACAGTCAGCGCTTCACTGCGCTACGAACCCGGTGACCCATAGTTCGAGTAATAATGGTGCCAATTGTGATTTAACCGGTCCTGGGCCTCCCCTAGGTTGACTCAGCCATAAATGAGTACTTGGTGCGATTGTGTAAGCATCAACACTGGGGATACAAAGGCGGCCGGACGTGGTGTACTCCGTGTCGGCCTTATAGGTGGTCGCTAACGGCACTTGCCCCCAAGAGCTACGCGGGGGATCTTTGTCCGTGTGTTTCTCGTCTCATGCTCTCTCCAGCCGGCCGAACGCACGCACGGTGCCCTACCACTACTACGACCCTCAGGGACGAAACGAATGCAGCGAGTACGCGGTGCACGAGAGGGCGCGCACCGGCGCTCACCGCTTCTTCACCGAGAAGGCCGTGTTCGGCCGCTGGGCCAAGCGCCACCGTATCGCCTTCTCCCACCCCACGTGGCCCGCACCCCCGGCCTGAGCCTCATCGTCCTGACCGGTGGCCGGATCCGGAATCATACAAAATCCCGAACTGGATTTTTGATGATACCCGTAATGGATTTTGTCTGATTATGAAATCCATCCCGGATCCAGATTATCTGTAATCGCCTGCCTGATCCTGATCATCTGAACTATCGGTGAGATCTGGCTGATCTGAAATCCTGAGCAGTTTTTTTTTAATGATGCCTGTGCTGGATTTGGACTCATTGGTTAAATTCTGATGATCCAAAACCCTGAACTGGATGATTAAGATTCCTTTGCCAGATCTAGATCATCTGAAATACCATCCAGATCCAGATTATCCCAAACACTGAACTTATTTTTTTATGATTCCTGTGTGGAATCTGGAGGAATTTTACCCTTAACCAGATCTTGGTGATCTGGACTAGATTACGATCCACTGCCTCTGCTCTGATCTGGATGATACGTGAGTCAGGATCCACATAGCCCAAACCCTGAGCCGGGTTTCATGTGCAGGCCAGCAACAACAGCAGTAGTTCTCTTCACCACTGGAGATGAAGTTGATTTGGAGGGGGGGTGGGGCGGGCGGGAGGTGTATTCTCCCGTCCCTCTGCTTCACCTCTGCCTTCGCAGTCGGCATGACGACCACCTCAAGCGAGAGCCGGAGAGGCCGCCGCCCTTTCCCGGGGTCACGACCCCGACCGCCTGTGGCTCGCCTCTCCCGGTTCTCGACAAAAACACACAAAACAACAAAAATGCCTTTTTATTTCACCTTTACGTCACTGCTGCCACTCGGTAACCCGTCGCGGGTTACGCGACGCACAGCCGATTTACTCCGCAAACTGAAGAACAATTTTATTGACTAAAATTTCCGGTCCACAACCCCCCCCCCGCGTCCATTGTCACTTGCCTGTGATGCACCCACAGGGTCCGGTGGCTGTGTACCTCTGACTCCAACCTCACCGAGATGCTGCAAAGGAGGGCTGGGGGCCGGCGCTTACACTCACATTGACACCACCGAATTTACACGGGGAAGCCACAAGTACTAGTTGGAGGGGCCTCGCATCTAATGCGGAGATGGGTGGGGATGGAATTATTTAGGTTGGACCCAGATGGGTGGAACAGCGGTTGGGAGTTTCTGAGTCCACGTCGCATGGGTTTGAATCAAACCATCATCAATAACATCATCATCAGTAGTCGTTGGCTATGGACCATGTAGTATCACGGCCATATACATAATGAATATACAGTATATGGTCGTGATGATGAATTTGTGACAATGACGATGGTCATTATCAAGGAAATTCGATAACGGCGATGCTGGCAGGATGTGACCGCTGTTGTCCACACCACGGGCCGCCAGGGGGCGGACGTCGCCCGCAGTTTCTTGGTGGCGCCGCTCCGTAGTGGCGCCCCCTCCACAGCCACATCGAGGAGAGGCGGACGGATCCAATTACCGCCCCAACTTCTCACGTGCCGCAGGGATCCGTTATGTTTGTAGGCCGCGACTGAGACCACAGGGCTTGCATAGCGGCCCCGCCGGGAAGGGCGCGCCTCACCCGGCAGGGCCGTCGTGCCCAGGCGGGTAACTGTTAGCGCTGGTTACCCAAGCGGGTAACTCTTAGTTCTGGGTAACGCTTTGATCAATTTCGCCGGATTTTCTCTCGGGTAAGTGCCTAAGAGCAGCACAACTTTCTACTCGCGTTGTATTCGTATTGGATCACATCTGCGATCATTGTTTGCTGTGGGCCGATTTTGAGACAGCGGTGCTTGCGTAGCGGCTCTGCCGGGGAGGGCGCACCTCTGCCGGCATGCCCGTCACGCCGGCAGAGGTGGTGGTGGGAGTCCTATATTACAGTTTTTATTTGTGTCCAATTTGTTCAAAACCCTTGGATGAATTTCACCAGGTTCCTCTACGTTACGTCCCTAGCACTACCCAACACAACTCGATGCCAAGAGTTGTGTCGTTGCTGGAGCATCGTCCAAGCGTGACCCTCCCTCCTCACTCTTTTCAGACGTGCACCGACAACGCAATATTCGTCAAGAACGCCGTGGCCTATCGTAGGCGACGTTTCGGACAATGACCCTTGTTCACAGCACAAAGAGAGCGGATAAGAGTTGCAGACAGCACTTTATTCTATGCTGGATATCTGTGAAGAAAGAGCTTTACAGCTCATCGGATTCCTCCAGTGTAAAGATTCTGAAATACGTCCAGGAGGTTCCATACGCTGGGTGGCCCACGAGTCGCACAACCAGTGGACTCAGCCATCCATAATACCGGCGAGCTGGACTCGTAACGAATTGGCATGTTCTGTTTACACGACAAACCTTACTAATTAGTTGTGGCGGGTTTAAGGACACATTTACGCGATCTAACCCCCGCAAAAAAACCTGTGTTATGGATGATATTGGTCGCGAAAGCCTAAGTGTTAAACTAATCACCATCTGTTTTGCCCTTCGAGCAACGCGCGGGTTTCCTCCGGGTGCTCCGGCTGAACACATCCTACAAAGAACGCAATGCAGGACCCTCGTGAAAGAAAGTGTTACTACTTAGCGTGGCCCTCCTGGATAGATAAATAAGCAAAATATTAATTTGGTCCCGCTGAGAATTACATAATAAAAAATGTGTCCTGATTAGCAGTATTCATACCCATTTGCTGTCGACCCATACGGTTTATCCGTATTCTTGTAAAGGGCACTTCAGTTTTCAGGTCCATACAGCGTACAGCCGTTTTAATATGGACCAAACAAAATTGTACACAGTATTTATGTTTCTCCCTTGTGATGGGACTTTGTAGGGTGAGCGTTGAGTCTGAATTGGTCTGTAATAAGTTAGGCACTGATAAGGGATTGACAGCTAATGCATACCACCCGCTTAGTGATTCATTCCTGGGCTTAGTTCTCATGAGGATGTGTCGAGGTTGTTATTGTTAATTGTACTTGTGTACCAGTGCCAAAGCAGCAGCAGCAAAAACAACACAAAACCACGTTGACAAAGACAGCCTGGGCCACGGGGCGCGGTGGTGACGACAGGGCGTGGTAGGGCTGCGGCTCTGCAGGTGGCAACTGCCCCCCACGCCATCACCAGGTGGTGCTAAACCCCGTACGTGCCTATGAGAAAGTGTTAGAGAAAGTGTTGTACTTCAGTGGCTGGCTGTTGCCGCTTTTAGGCGAGTGCCAAACTGTGTAGTCTCTCCGATGTGTTGTCGCGTTGTTTGGTGGATGATGTGCGATTGTTTCGCTCCACGTGCCGGGGAGTGATTTTTTTTTTACGCGAACTGAACTGATCAGCTGTCCGGGTTACCTCCGTTTCCGCCCTCGAACATTCGAGCGAGCAGCTTTATCCGGGCACTGCGGTTTGCTCCCGGAGAAAGCAAATCAGCAACTTCAAATAGTGTAAAAGATCGAAGCGGCAACACCGCTTCTGCTTAATTCAGCTGCTGAAGAAGCTGCCGGCACACAGGACGGAAACTTCGTAGACTTCGTACCCAGCCACACACAATAGTAATAATAATACCACTGTGTGTGGTACTGTTATTATTACCATTGCCCAACGCAAGATGAGGCGGGGTGATAAGTTCAGGCATGCCCTGGCCCACCCCTCTTCCACCCACGAAACCTAGGTGATTAATGGAATGGAGGAACCCGTTAATTGGAAGGGTGGCCTGCACGTTTGACAGAGCTGATTTAATTAAGGGCTGACACGTCCGGGCGTGATGGATGCGCCCAAATGTCCGGCGCATCCAGCGCTGTGTCTTGCCTTGGCAGCGTGTAAGTGGCCATGGGCTCGCTGATGGGACCTGACCATCACGATGACCCATATAACACTCAACTTTATTTGGGCTGTCTGTAACAGTGCACTGCTTTGCTGATGAGCCCCGGCGATCATGAAGACACGTGTGCTATACATATAGGAATACTGTACTGGCCTTGGTAGCACGTAAGTGGCCATGGATCACTGACGAGACAAAATGACCATGACCCATATAAGACTGACGTTATCTTGGCAGTCTTTAGCTTTGATAATTAAACGGTGATCATGAAGACACAGCACTCGAGTGTCTGTGGAGGTCTGTATGTGGATAAAGTCTGCTGATGAACTCTAATAATTATGAAGACACTATAATGCCCCAGTGTGTCTTCGGAAGTATATAGCTTGCTGATGAGTTAGAATGATGAGGAAGACCCATGTAACCATCCGTGCTTGTCTTGGCAGTGTGTAAGTGGGCATGGCCTTGTTGATGAGCTCTGATGGTTATTAAGACACAACACTATAGTATATTATTGTCAGCCTGTAGCTGGGCATAATGCATTGATGAGACTCAAGAACTACGAAGATCAATATAACACTCCGTGCTTGCCTTTGCAGCATATGAGTAAGCATGGCATGCTGATGAGCACTAAAGGTTAAGAGGACTCCTATAACAAAGGTTTTCCTTGGCATTCTACAGGTGGGCATGGTCCTGCTGATGATTTCTAAGGATTACGATGACCCATGGGAAACACGAGCACATTTTGATTCGTAATAATTTTCTTTTGGTTTAGATCGTGTAGGTATAATGTCAGCGAGAGCTGAGCTTTGTTCACGCCTGATGATGCTGGATATAATCTCCAGAGAAGCATCGTTCATGTGCAGTTGTCAACATGTTGCTTGGATCTTCCTTCCTACCTCTGGTCTGTGCTGAAAAACCAAATCACTCGGCCACAATCGCCCACGTGACAACGTGAGTTGATTGGCTCTGTCGCTCGGTGTGGGGAGGGTTACGGTTAATACGATTCACATTTTTACAGGCACGATCTCACCCAAAGTAAACTCGTTACGAATCGTAATATTGTTGGCGAAAATCCGTCGAATATAAAAGAACCACAAGGCTACGTGCAGTCTGTACAGGCTACGTCTTACGTACTTTGCCTTGGCAGTCCAAAGGTGGGCATCTCGACCGCGCGTCTCGCACGCTCTCGGCCAACTAACGCCTTCCTTTGAAGAAAGTGTCCACCGATAGTATTTAACATATTTATAAATATTCGTGTTGTCGATGGTTGGAGCCCCATCGAGACGACTTCACTCCGTGTGGGAGGCACACACCCAGCTGTTACTATAACAGCTGCAATCAGGGCTTCATTTCTCGTGGGGTGTAAAAAAAATTGCCGGAGTTCAGCCCCGGACAGCTCCGATTGAAGTCCAAAATTAAGCCCTGCGTGTGATATGTATTTTATAACTTAATATGATACGAATGACCTTGCAGTGTTTTTTTGTAACTTGCCCGTGGAATGTAATAAAAACATATACATCGTATTCTTCGGCTGATAAGACGCTCTGGAAAGTCAGACGCACTCTAAAATGTGTGCCCCTTTCAATAAAGTTATACAGATCTGGTCACACACACACACATAACAAAGATCACCCCTATAGCCTTAACTGACTGTCGGGGCAAGTGCTGTTAGCGAGCTCCTGTGAAGGTCGGCACGGCACACGAGGGGGTGTGTGGTCAACACCACGCCCGGACTGCCTTTGTCTCCCCAGTGGCGATGTTTTCGCATCGCACCAGGTGCTTATTTGAGGATAATCGCCACTGGTGTTGGTCTTGAGCGGGAATCGAACTCGAGTCGCTGGTTTTGGAGCGCAGTGAGCTAACCACTGCGCCACCGCTCCCCACACATACACAATAACACACGCGCACATAGCTACCGGACTCGAAAGACGGCAACCAACATTGGCTTTAAAATACTGCACATGGGAAACGGTCAGTCTTATAATCCGGAGAATACGGTAAATAGTAATTTTGTAAAAATGAAAAACTATTTAATATTGACGAACAATATTATTTATTGGCTTGTGATTCTTTTTTTTTTAAACGAATTCATGGAACACCGTGCGCGTTACGGGTGGAACGTTGCTCAGCGCGCTTCTCCCGCTGCACCTGCGGTCCAGAGTTCGCCGGTTCGATCCCGCATCCCGGCGCGGCAGTGAAAACAATGTGGGGGGGGGGGGGAGTTGAGTTTCTCAAATCCCGCACCACCACCCCGGCCTCGCCGTCTTTGTCCACCCAGCGGTAGGGATAGCTTCACAATTTGGAAGAGGAGGCCAAAATTGCTCTCCTCTTGGCGGGTGGGGGAGGTGCTCTCATCTAGAGATGCTTTTAGTGGGGGGCTGCCCCTTCACCCGACCCGACAATCTGTGCCTGGAATCCGTCAGCGTCGCCTGAACGATTTTCTTTTTTAGAAATCCGGCCGCTGCCGCCGATTTTGTCGCGGCTGCGTTCCGCTGTGCGGTTAAAAGAGGCGCTCGCTAACTCTCGCCTGCTCGCCAGCCCTTTAGGAACGCCACGTCTCTTCTCTCACCACACCTGCGAGTTCCAAGTTGGACTCCCTGGGTGTTTGTGTTTTTTGTATATCTCTCTGAAGGACCGTTGTAATGAACCTTGTATTGCATTAAAATGATGAAGGTTGACTCCACGTGCTGTTGGTGAGTTGTTGTCACTCCGTCACGTGGGTTGTCAGTGAGCGCCCGGCCGCCTTTGTCTCTCTCCCGTGCTTTGTATGGTTCATGTGGCGCAACAGCTGTAATGTTACACTCAAGTGGTTTAGCCAGCGTCAGCAGTCGCGGAGTGGTGTATCGCTGTTATGGTGCATCGTCCTTCATATAGATGTGTGAGTTTGCGGGTCTCTATGTGAGTGTTTCTGTATATGCATCTATAGAGCTCAGCACAGTGCAATTCGATGGAATTTACATTTTGAAAAACACCACATTTAACATAAGCTCTCGAGTATTCAGCAACCAGCCTCGCCTTCCCGCCCACCCCAACTCAAATCCGCATCCCACCCCACGTACATCGAACTCCATGCCGGGTCTCCCGCAGCGTGCTAATTTCTTTGTCAGAACACCTTGTTTGCTCGCACACAGGTCCGATGTCTGAGCGTGGTTGTGTTTCGCTAAATTCTCCTGTTTGATGAGTACTATGTGCCTCGGTGAATGTATATGCTCTAACTTTAACATAGCTATTTCTGTGACCAGTTACAAGCTAATCACTCAGCTATTTCAATGCTAAATTCGATGCTAATTCCTTTGTCAAGGGGTACCTCTGCGGATGTGTATACTTTAACTTAGCTATTTCAATGAGCCATTTCAATGCTAAATTATATGCTAATTCCTTTGTCAAGGCGCTTGGTCTTTTTCTTCTCACACAGCTTAAAGGTCGTGATCTAAGCGTGGCTTCTTCCACTCCAGCGCTGTCCTCCAGACAGTCTCGTCCCTTCACCTGATGAGGGCCGCTTGTGTTGTGGCCGAAACGTCGTGATTTTTTGTGATTTTATTTTCACCTACGTGACTTTACCCAATAGAACCAAAGAGTATGGATCCTAGCAGTCACGAAAGCTTTAAATCTAGAAGGGACGAATTGTTCACGTTGGAGATCCCGCCCGGGCCCCGTGGGACCCCGTAACAGGGTTTAGGTGGCAGACTCCTTTTAATTGACGCGCTTTGCAGACAATTGCTCACAATTTACTACTCGAGAGCGGTGAGCGGTGACGCGAACGTTCGCTTTGTTTGACCAGACGAAAAGTCAGGCGATCGGGGACATACAGCGTCTGCAGCACTGTGGAGGCAGCAACGAGGGTTGGTGGATCACCGCACAGATGGGGGTGTGAATGAATCTCTGTCTCCCCCCGAGGGCGTCGAGGAGGTGCCGTACCCTGCCTCGCCAGGAGAAGGCGGCACAGCCGGTGGACCACTCGCCATCTGCTTGTCCCGTCTGTACGGGGATAGAGCGTTGCCTCCTCGCGCAATAATAAACACGACTCGTCATTCATTGGCCGACGAGCGTGGACGAGTAGGCCAAATACTCTCCTCTATAGAGGGGCTCTTCAGACCCTCCACAAGTGGAGGCACTTACGCCAGCGGTGGCATGAACAAGAGATTGCAGAGCTGCGCCTCTACCCGTGGGGGCTCACGGGGATAGTGACGTCACGCAAACACATTGAGACAATCCTCGTCACCTCGATGACGTCACCGATCCCGGCGGGATGACGTCACCGCGCTCTCCGACTACGCCCGCCCCCGTGAGAGATGCACGCCGAGAGGAGGGAGAGGCAAGGGAGAGGGACGGGGTACGTAGGGGACAGCGGAGGGAGATTCGGGGAGAGATAAGAGAGAGATAAGGGAGGCGGGGGGGACATTAAGGAAGGAAGAGGGAAGCGATAAGAGAGACGGAGAGAAGGTGGTAAGGGGGAGAGAGACGACAGAGAGAGAAGGGCGGTGGTGCTGGTGGTGGGGGGAGAGGAAACGGGAGGGAGATACAAGGAGAGATAAAGACACGCGGAGAGTGAGAGGAAGAGCCAGAGACCAAGTGAGAGAGATGAGGACATCGAGGAGCGGAAGGGAGAGTGTGAAAGAGAGAGAGGCAGAGACACGCGGGACTGGAGTGAAGACAGCCTGTGAAGAGACGGGGAGGGAGACGGAGAGAACAGGGAGAGAGGAATGAGGAGTACGACGGAAGGGGGACAGCAATAAATAGGAAGAGCAGGGAGAGAGAGAGTCAAGGAGACACGCAGAGCAGGGAGACACGAGGAGACAAGGAGAGAAACACAGAGAGAGGGAGGCGGTGACAGACGTGAGACAGAGAGCCACGGGGAGGGAGAGATCGGGAGAGACAAGCGGAGAGAGCGTGGCACACGAGAGAGGAGCAGGGAGAGTCGGCGTCTGCGCTTCTCCGCCCTCCGTCAAGTCCCCTCGCTACTCCGCTCTTCGTTTCGGGGGTCTCCCCAGCGCGGAGCAGCAAGTGGACCAAGGGGCTCCATCTGCCCGGGTCCCCTTGGCACGCTCCTGCCCTCTCCTCCTGCTGCTCCTCGCTTCGGACCACGACCCCCGCGGGTTCGGGGGTCGTGGGCCGAGCGGGTCGTGGGGGTATCCTTGCCTGGGCCCCGATGCATGGGGTTCCCGGAGACCCCGGCCGTGCCGACCCCCTAGGAGCCCCGCAGGGATAGGAGGCGCCGCGCCATGGCCGAGCGGGCTCACGGTGAGACCCCCACGGACCCCGAGAGGTCTCCTAAAGACCCCCCCTAGGAACCCCGTGTACCTTCTTAGACCTCGTTCGGATCCCGTGTACCCCCACAGACCATCCCCCTCCCCCTCATACCCCCTAAGACATCATATCCACGCATCCCCTCAGATTCCGGAACCCTTTGGGAACCCCACAGACCCCGGCCGATCCACACACGCCGCGTATCCCCTCAGACTCTCTCATACCTCGTGTACCCCCTCAGACCCTTAATGCCCCCTTATGCCCCGTGCACCCCTCAGACCCTTAATGCCCCCTTATGCCCCGTGTACCCCTCAGACCCTTAATGCCCCCTTATGCTTCGTGTACCCCTCAGACCCTTAATGCCCCCTTATGCCTCGTGTACCCCTCAGACCCTTAATGCCCCCTTATGCCTCGTGTACCCCTCAGACCCTTAATGCCCCCTTATGCCTCGTGTACCCCTCAGACCCTTAATGCCCCCTTATGCCCCGTGTACCCCTCAGACCCTAAATGCCCCCTTATGTCTCGTGTACCCCTCGGACCCTTAATGCCCCCTTATGCCCCGTGTACCCCTCAGACCCTAAATGCCCCCTTATGTCTTGTGTACCCCTCAGACCCTAAATGCCCCCTTATGCCCCGTGTACCCCTCAGACCCTAAATGTCCCCTTATGTCTCGTGTACCCCTCAGACCCTTAATGCCCCTTATGCCTCGTGTACCCCTCAGACCCTAAATGCCCCCTTATGCCTCGTGTACCCCTCAGACCCTTAATGCCCCCTTATGCCCCGTGTACCCCTCAGACCCTTAATGCCCCCTTATGCACCGTGTACCCCTCAGACCCTTAATGCCCCCTTATGCACCGTGTCCCCCCTGAGACCCTAAATGCCCCCTTATGCCTCGTGTACCCCTCAGACCCTAAATGCCCCCTTATGCTTCGTGTACCCCCTCAGACCCTTAATGCCCCCTTATGCTTCGTGTACCCCCTCAGACCCTTAATGCCCCCTTATGTTTCGTGTACCCCCTCAGACCCCCTTAGGACCCCACACGGTGGGTTTGGGGGGTCGTTTTTGCTAAGACCCCGTGTGTGTCTGGGACCAGGTTTCCACCAGATTTCACTATTTTCTTCCAAATGTTTGCTTGTAAATACATACACGTAGCGATTTAATACAGATCACGAATGTGTCCCACGTGATTAGCAATTGTCCTTCAAGGTGATGAGCTTCGCAGCAAATGTCCGTTTAATGATTTACCGATTCTTGTATTTACAAGTGTATCAGTGTATTATGTGTGTGATCCGTGTGTGTGATCCGTGTGTGTGATACACTTGTGTGGATGGTTAATCCGTGTACTGGTTGGCCTGTGTACTGGTTAGTCTCGGTCACAGTTAATCTAGGTCACAGTTCGTCTAGGTATTGGTTAGGCTGTGTGGATGGTTAGTCTGCATTCTAGTTCGTCTGCATACCAGTTCGTCTGCATACCAGTTCGTCTGCATACCAGTTCGTCTGCATACCAGTTCGTCTGCATACCAGTTAATCTGTGTACCAGTCAGCCTAGGTGCTGGTCAGTCTGTGTACCGGTTAGTCTAGGTACCACTTAGTCTGTGTACCGGTTCGTCTAGGTACCAGTTAGACTGTCTATGCTTAGTCTGTGTCCCAGTTCGTCTTACCGGGTGGCCGTGGTACCGGCTGGCACACGTCCCGGTAGTCCCGGCCACTGGTCAATGTGCGTACCGGGTGGACTGTGCACCACCCAAGGATTCACGTGAAGATTGAGAGCCGAGCGGAGGTCGGAACGGTGTCCGTTCTCGCGCTCACCCCCTGGGTATTTGGATAAATGTGACACCAACATTGTTTTACTTGACTATAAGAATTTAGGGAGGCTGAGCTTTTTTTTGGGGGGGGGGCAGGGAGGTGCCAGGGGGAGGGGGGGACTTAGCAGTTCGCAAGGGGCTATGGGGAATCCGTATCATAATCATCAGTATCACCAGGAGGCGCTTAGTGATACTGATGACAAGGCTGATGATGCTGCTGATAATACTGATGCTGCTGCTGGTAATACTGATGCTGCTGCTGATGATACTTCTGATGTCTCTCGCTCCCCCCCCCCCACCTCTCTCGTGCCCAGACCCCGCAGCTCCCCCTGAGTACGCACAGGCGGTGGGGCCCCCCATCCCCTCGGCCCCCGTCCAGACCCCTTCCCAGACCCCCCTTGGCCCAGGGGGGCCCTACCCCGGCCCCCCATACGCCCCCGCTCCCGTGAGCCCCTGCCCGGCCGCCTCTCCGGGGTTCCCACAGCCGGGGTTCGCCGCACCGGGACCCTACCCGGTTCCCTACGCGGGGTTCATGCCAGCCTACCCCGTCGGTGGGGTCAGTGTGTACTTACACTCTTCACTGTCGTCGCTCATCACCACTCTTCTTCACGAGCATAATAATGATTTGTAATATTATTATTCGTTTCGCTTGCATATAGCGGCATCGTCATTCATTCAAGCTCCATCTCAAGACGTAAGTAGTATTTGTAACGCGCGGCTCAGATTTCGCACGGAGACTCGGGGTGGTGGGAAGCACAGACGGTATCCACGCGACCCACAGTTGCTCAAGCTCGGTGGTCCTACAATTGGGATGTCCGGCAAACTATTAATGAGTGATTATACACGTGGGACGAAAGGCCCGGAGTAGCTGCGTTGGGGGTAACACTCAAACTCCATACAGACGGAACAGAGATGCAGATTAACCCGCTTGATGTACTGCCTGCAAGCCGGGAGATTGCGACCTCGACGCCCACGGCAAGAAGGGAGTTTCATGAGCGCGTGCGTGATTGGCAAACCCTCGCTGCCTCCACAGCACCGCACTCCATTGCAGAGCGGCTGTAGCATTACCACCATCGACGCGTTATCTCAGCCCGTTTTTGTCCATCTCTCTGAACCGGGGAAGGTAACAGAGAAAGGGGACACGATACGAACGACAATTCGAGTCGCGCTGCCACGTGGAGGCCGTGCTCGAAGGGTTTAGGCCTCGTCGCCATGCCGACGGTGACATCACGCGCCACGTGCCGGCCTTGCGCGCGACAGAATCCCGTCGACGCCAATTCAATTGTTCCCCTCCCCCCTCGACCACGAAAGTTGATATTGTATTGATATTGGCAGAAAAAATGCATCAAATGTTTTATTTTACTAGTGTAATGGTGGCGGGGGGGGGGCTATTTTCGGGACCCCCCCCCCACCTCCCCTTAGGTAGTTTCTAGAATCTAGATCAGTACCAAGCCATCGTCTCATCGCGTGCCCCGAGCACGCGTTGTCTTTCCCTCTCGCTGTAACCTCGACAAGTCGGTCACCTCTCCGCTGCTCTTCGCAATAAGTCCCCATTTGTCACTCCATCAACGCGGCTGATTCTCGGCGTTCGTAAAACTCCGCGTTTCCACACGAGTCAGCATTCGTTACGTTACTGGCTGTCCGTGAATACTCATGACACAAGCACATACTTTGCACACGCGTACATATATGACAAATATAATATATCTACACGCGCAGATATATACACACACACATACACGTGCGGGCACGCGAAAACGCACACTGAAATAATACGCAATGGAATACGTACACACAGACGAGTAAGCCAACTGCACAATGAACTGCACGCATACAATATGCACATACGGAAACACAGACAAGATAAAGATCCCCCCTATAATCTCAACAGGTTTTTTGGGCAAGTGCACGCAACAAAGACACAGATCCCCCGTATAGCCTTAACAGACTGTTGGGGCGGGTGATGTTAGCGAGTAGCACCTATGAAGGCCAGCACGGCACACGAGGGGGTGGCTGGCCAGCACCGCGTCTGATCATGCACATTTTCAGTTTCATTTATTTGGTATAGCCCTGTGAGCCATTCGGCTCTTGAATCGGGTGCAACCGCAACAAACAAAAAACAAAAACACGACAAGAAAACATCTTAAAGTGACTATGTGACTGCGCAAACAGAAAAATACAGGAAAAAACAGCAAAATCTTCCAGAAAAAGCACCGTACACCAACGTTGTGTGCAGAAATCCCAGTGGGATGCAAGTCAAACAACAACAACCACAAGACAACTTAGACTAAGGCCATCAGTCTAACTCTGTACTACAACAAACAAACATGGCGAAACCAAAAAACGTTTTAGAAATCACCAAAATAAAGCCATAAAAGCAATGTAACAGTAACCATAGGAACTGTGACCGAATTTTCACAATAAACGACATAAGCAACATGTAACACCAAACCCTAGAGCCATAGCTGGCTGCATGAGTCACTCCACAACAGCAGGAGCATCAGTAGGAGTATCAAAAATTTTCAATCCACCACATACAGACGCCCACACAGATACACACCGCTGGATGAGTGACCACTAACGCTGACCCTGCCCCCACCCCTCTCGCAGGGGTTCGTGTCGGGGTACGGCGCGGTCCCCGTCGGCACGACCGCCGTCGGCCACGCTCAGCCGCTGCCGCTGGGCCTAGGGGGCGGGGGGGTCCCCTCTGTGGGGATCCACGTGGGGGGCACCCTCCTGGGAGGCGAGCCCCGGGTCCCCCCCCACGACTATCTGCCCATCGCCGTCTTCAGCACCGTGTGCTGTTTCTGGCCCACGGGGGTGTTCGCCATTCTCAAGGCCGTGCAGGTGGGTAGCCGCGAGATGCACCGAGTCTGGCGATGGCATCCGCCGTTACTTCCAAGGTGTGCCGGAGATGAAGGCGGTGAGGCCGAGCGTCGTATGAAGATGACCATCGCTCGCTGTGATTGCTGTGATCTAACCCTGGCATTGCTTGCATAACATTGACAATGGAACGATGTAGATGGCAGGGGGGCGCTACAAGGATTGAGAAATGAGTGACAGCGATAGAGGGGTACTTAGAGATCACGAAAGGGTATGGGAGGGACGGGAAGGAGTGGAGGGGTGAGGGAAGGAGAAGAGAATGGGTAATAGAGAATAGGTGAGCTTTAAGAGAGGAGATTAAGGAGGGGGATTTATGAATGTGGCGGTGGTGGTGATGATGATGACAAGGATTCTACTGCTACTGCTGATGAGGATGATGCATCTTCTACTTTTGATAATCATGATATTAATGCTGCCTATGATGACACCACTACTTCTGGTGACGCTGCCGAATCTGCTGACGATTCCTTTTGCCTCTCCCTCCCTCTCCCCACCACCACCACCACGACCGCCACCACCATCACCACAGGCGCGTGCGGCCCTGCTGCGTGGCGACGTCCTGGCGGCCGAGATCGCATCTCGCCAGGCGCGGAACTTCGCCTTCATCAGCCTGGCCGTGGGCATAGCCGCGCTGGTGCTGTGCGCCATCGTCACCTGCGTGGTCGTGATCGCCTCCCGTGGTCACGAGGAGGCCCACTGGGCGCCGGGGGGTCACTAGCCGGGCCCGTCAAGGTCGGTGCGGCGGGGAGGAGGCCGGGGGGGAGCGGTCTCACCCAACCCCCCCCCCCCCCCCCCCCCCCCCCGAGGACCCCTGAGACTCTGTGGCACGGAGCCGCACGGGGCTGCTTGTGGCGAAGGCTCGCCGTTCGAGCCCGCCGGCTACCCCGGTTAGGGAGCCGCGGGTGTAGAAGGTAAAGAGGTAAAGAGGTAGAGGTGCAGCCCTGCAAGTGCTCGCTCACGCCACTGCCGGCAGAAAGGGCCTCCGCTGGGCAGACTTCTCGGAAGAGGTGGAAGTACCCACACTTTACCCTACCACTCACGCGACCTGCCGACTCGACCGCCTGCGGAGGGAGGCGGCGTGGGGTGAATTTAAGAAACTTGCGATCGTTGTTTCGTCTGCCGTGCCAGGAGGTGGAATCGAGCCAATGCCCTCTGGGCCCTGCTCCCCATTGCACAACTGCGGGTTTATTAACAGCACAGATATTTGTTGTCCCCTCCGACGGTGGACGTGTGTGGTCCCGTAACATCATTGGGAAAAGATGTGACCACGTGTGCCCGTGTCACGGTCCACATTTTATAAAGTTTGATAACTTCCTCGCCAATTACTTTATTGGGGAAAAAAGCACGTAGCAACATCGCCACCTACTGGCAGAGTCATGCCCGTGTGCGGGCCGCTTCTGCGTGCACCTTGTACCACGCAGAGACAGCTGCTACTTGCGGTCCCCTAGGCTGGACTGCAGCAGGGCCTTGGAACGGTCGAGATGAGATGCAACGCTAGGCGCTTTGACTTGCCGAGGCATTGCAGCAAGTCCTGGACCCTGACCCGTGTCTGACACCCGCCCCCACCTCCCTCTTGGACTAACAACGGGCTCAACCCACGTCTACGAATATCTGGGGCTTCATTTCAAACTAATCATTTTACAGCGCACTGGTAAACTGGAGCGTGTGGCATGTGACGGGTAACTATAGAAAGCCATAGCAATAGGGTATACTGGATGTGGTGTGCCAGGTGGTGAAATTACATTGCAGGATCAGCAAGCGGGATAGACCCAGCTGAGATTAAGCCCTGCGAGCGCTTGCACAGAAACAACCTTGGCAACTAGCACGCAGACGTCTCAACATGGTGACGTCACCACGGCGCTGGTGCCAGGCTATGTGCACTCAAACACGCGCACACGCACACAGACGCCCGTACGCACTACCACGAAGCATCCCTGGACTCTAACTCGGCGTCCGCCAGTTCCGCAGCCTCCGTGTTGGCCTCTCTCCCCTTCTCACCTGTGAGATCTGGCCAGCTGGATTTGACCCTGGCTCCCACCACGGTGCGTTGCTTGTACAAAGCCCTCACAATAAGACGACTCTCACGTGCACACGCAGCCAGCAGAATACGTGCGTTATGCTCATGATGATGATTGTAATGTGGTGCATTTTAATTTTATTGATGTATTTGTTCGTTGGCTGCAGGGCAGGACTGTTACCCATGCACACCTGTGCACACCTGTACAGATCAGCTTGCGTGCATTTGTATATTTCATGATGTATAGGTGGTGTGTGTGTCCTGTGTTCCCACGGTTAGCCGGGTAGCCTTTACAATGGGCTGACTTGCATTTATGCATTTGAGAATGTATCTTATAGAGAACCCTCATTACATCCGTTACAGAACCATCGTCTCATCCCACACAGAACCCTCATTGGGGTGCCTTAGTTTGGCTCGATGAACCCTCATTGGGGTGCCTTAGTTTGGCTCGATGAGGACGGCAGTCTTTGTAACCCCAGCGCGCACGCCAGCGTTGGCGACGAGCCCGACTGTCGCTCTACCGATCGCACGGTTGAGTCGTCATGCGGCAATGCGGCCCACGTGCTGATGCGTACTCGATGTTGACTGTATATATAAACTGTATAGAGTACTATAGGCTGTCAGTGAGCAGGTAAGGGTGGCATGTGGTGGCATGCATATTTTGTTGTCATTCCCCCGTACCTCTGATTAGCACGGTTGCCTATGTACGGTGCGAAAAAAGTTCAACACACGTACATCCGGTGGCTGAATTTGGAATGAGAAACGAAACGGTGGGATTTTAACTTCAATTGGAGATGGGGTATTGGGTCGGGGTAGCGTTATGGATAAGGGTTATGATTCGGTATGGGGTAGAGGCTGAGTTAGGGGGTAGTGTTAGGGGGTAGTATTCGGGGTGTAGTGTTGAGGGCAAATGGAGGGTTATGGATACAGTTACTGGTTGAGTTAGCTTCGGCATAGAGTTATGGGATCGAGGCAGGGTAGGAGTGCGTGCAGGATTAAGGGTCGAGGTAGCGTTTGGGATTGCTGTACAGATGGGGTTACAGATAATGGTTGGGTTGGAATACTGAGTAGGGTTGGGCTGGGGAAGAGTTTGAATTATGGATGGCATTAGGGTCAAGTGTCGAGGTTGGGTTTTAGTTATGAAGGAATAGGATCTGGTTATGGTTATAGGGTTCAGGTGAGGGGGGCGGGTAAAGGAAGGTTGAGGGTTAGTACGAGGGTTGGCCTCACAGGGAGGGTTTGTGCTCTGACCACCCTCAACCCTCTCGACAACCACGGTGAGGGGCACCTCCTCGTGGCGGCTTGGGGGGGGGGAGGGCATCGCTTCCTTGCCTGTACCGCATCTCGTTATCAGTTGACTATACTTCCCCACGCTGGTCAGTGGGGGTTGGTGGATTGGGGGGGGAGGGGGGGCACAGTCTCGTTTATCGGTGGGTATTTAATGTGCGCACTTTCATTTTTTAATGTTTTAGTCGCTATTTAATATTTTATATTTTTCAACAAATTCTGATCGATAGCGGTGACGCGGAGCTGTGATGGGTGCGTGGGGCTCATGTCGGCCATTCTCTATCCGCTGCTGGATGTGAGTATACATATACAGTTAACAGGCTATAACACAATATTAGAGGTTGTACTCCCTGTTGCGTCGGAGGTAATCTACTTTGAACTCGAGCTGGACTGTAATTCGATTACTTAAGTAATTGGATTTACTCTACCAATTATTGCTTGGATTCATCGATACATCATACGTGAAAATCATTCTGGGGGGGGGGTATAAAAATCCCAACCCTGGTCCCACGTGTGCCACTGGACGGGAGGCCCACAGTATCGTCAGCCGTGCTACGCTGGGCGTGGCTTGTAGGGGGTTTCCAGCCTTCGCGAGGCAGGACGTGGGGGGCGGCCACCATCTTTAAAGGGGCACCAGGAATCGACCACGAGAAAACAAAAAGTTTTATAATTTAGCTCGATTCATCTCTCTCATCGTGCCATCTCGTGCACTCAGCCAGGGGAGGTCACAGCCGTGGAGGCGTAGCAGTACAGAACGACGATTCATGTTTCTGCACTACCCCTCTCCTCTCCGGCGTGTACCCCCCTCTCTCCCCGCAGCCTGTAACCTATAACACCTGTTATACGCATGGTGGTCGCCCATACAAGCATTGTCGAGGCTGAACGTGGCTTAGCTTCCTTCCGAGCTGTGGCGAGCTCGGGTTCATTTTGGGGAACTTGCCTGCAGGTAAACTACTATTATTATTCACGTGTAACGAGGATTCATTACAATAATAAATGTTTACACACAATACAAGTGGTTTAATTTATGCTGAAACGACGGTTGCCAAGCACAGGCACGCAGGCCAAAACGCCGAGCAGGCGGCAACAAACGGCACGACTGAAGGTGGACTGGATTCGAGTGTACCCACGCGTTTCTTGAATTGAGCGGCCGGGTACGAGTGATGTAAGAGGTTGGGAGATGATGCTGCTGATGATGACGGGAGGAGGGAATTCCCAAGTGGAGCAGTTGCGAGGGAAGAGACAGAAGGAGAAGTGGGGTGACCCATAGTGTGGTGAGTGGGTGGGTGAGTGAGTGGGTGTGTTGTTGTGACCTGTAGTGTGGTGAGTGGGTGAGTGAGTTAGTGGGTGTGTTGTTGTGACCTGCAGTGTGGTGAGTGGGTGGGTGCGTGAGTGTGTGTGTTGTTGTGACCTGCATTGTGGTGAGTGGATGGGTTGTTGTGACCTGCAGTGTGGTGAGTGGGTGAGTGAGTGGGTGAGTGGGTGTGTTGTTGTGACCTGCATTGTGGTGAGTGGGTGGGTGCGTGAGTGGATGTGTTGTTGTGACCTGCAGTGTGGTGAGTGAGTGGGTGAGTTAGTGAGTGGGTGTGTTGTGACCTGCAGTGTGGTGAATGGGTGGGTGTGGTGTTGTGACCTGCAGTGTGGTGAGTGGGTGAGTGGGTGTGTTGTTGTGACCTGCAGTGTGGTGAGTGGGTGAGTGAGTGAGTGGGTGTGTTGTTGTGACCTGCAGTGTGGTGAGTGAGTGGGTGTGTTGTTGTGACCTGTAGTGTGGTGAGTGGGTGGGTGAGTGAGTGAGTGGGTGTGTTGTTGTGACCTGCAGTATGGTGAGTGAGTGGGTGAGTGAGTGAGTGTGTTGTTGTGACCTGCAGTATGGTGAGTGAGTGAGTGGGTGTGTTGTTGTGACCTGCATTGTGGTGAGTGGGTGGGTGCGTGAGTGGATGTGTTGTTGTGACCTGCAGTGTGGTGAGTGGGTGGGTGTGGTGTTGTGACCTGCAGTGTGGTGAGTGGGTGAGTGGGTGTGTTGTTGTGACCTGCAGTGTGGTGAGTGGGTGAGTGTGTTGTTGTGACCTGTAGTGTGGTGAGTGGGTGGGTGAGTGAGTGAGTGGGTGTGTTGTTGTGACCTGCAGTATGGTGAGTGGGTGAGTGAGTGAGTGTGTTGTTGTGACCTGCAGTATGGTGAGTGGGTGAGTGAGTGAGTGAGTGTGTTGTTGTGACCTGCAGGGTGGTGAGTGAGTGGGTGTGTTGTTGTGACCTGCAGGGTGGTGAGTGAGTGAGTTGGTGTGTTGTGATATGCAGGGTGGTGAGTGGGTGTCTTGTTGTGACCTGCAGGGTGGTGAGTGGGTGAGTGAGTGGGTGTGTGTGTTGTTGTGACCTGCAGGGTGGTGAGTGAGTGGGTGTGTTGTTGTGACCTGCAGGGTGGTCAATGAGACGGTGAGTCTGGTTGATCGACTCCTCAACACGGGTGTTGTAATGCGTGAGTGTGAAGTGAGCGGGAGCAGTAAGCAGGGTAGGAGTTCGTGTTAGAAGGGCGACAAGGAGGTGACTGACCACCGGTGAGCGAGCTCGCGAGTGACTGGAGCGAATCGGTGATGAGTGCCGATTCATCCATCACCCTGGCCACTGCCGCTGCTCCTCTCCGCTGAGTGTGAGAGGAGAACCCCGCAGTGGGGCAGAGCGAGAGAAGATTCAAGACTCGCTAGCTGCAGCGGCTCTCACGAGCCGTGCTGTCCGGTCTTCTTGCAACAAAAATCCATGCTGCTTTATTTTACATGTTTAATTCGTTATGGATTTTGCAACAGTGAAAAAGCACTATTAATAAATAATATGTACCTTTGGCTCTTAACATTACATCAATTGCCTTTTACCCGAGTGAACAGGGAATATTAGGAGAGGCTGAGAGTGGGGCGTTATTGGTGCCCCCTCCCCTCTTCCCTCGCCCCCTCCCCCTGCTGGGTTGAAACCGCCAGCGAGTTGAAGGTCTCAGCTCGGTTACCATAGAGACACATAGAGACCCATAGACATACATAGAGACCCATAGAACCATAGACTCACGTAGAGACCCATAGACATACATAGAGACCCATAGACTCACATAGAGACCCATAGAACCATAGACTCACGTAGAGACCAATAGACATACATAGAGACCAATAGACTCACATAGCGACCCATAGACTCACATAGAGACCCATAGACTCACACAGACCCATAGACTCACATAGAGACCCATAGACTCACATAGAGACCTACACTCACATAGAGACCCATAGACTCACAGAGACACATAGACTCACATAGAGACCCATAGACTCACGTAGAGAACCATAGATTCACGTAGAGACCCATAGACTCACATAGAGACCCATAGACATACATAGAGACCCCATAGACCCACATAGAGACCCATAGAGTTGCATAGAGACCCATAGACTCTTACAGAGAACCGTAGACTCACGTGGAGACCCATATACTCACATAGAGACCCATAGACTCACGTGGAGACCCATAGACTCACATAGAGACCCATAGACTCACGTAGAGAGCCATAGACTCTCACAGAGACCCACAGACGTACATAGAGGCCCACAGGCTCACATATAGACCCTTGGACTGTGTTGTAGTTAACGTGGGTTCTTAAGTGTAGCGAGTTGATGATCTTAACCCGGTCACCAATGACCGCACATACAGAAATGATCGGGTTATTTTTGGGTTCTGCACCCAGTTTGGTTCGTAAGATAATATCGATGTGACTGTCACGTGACGAACATTTATCTCTACAGCAGGGTCGGTGGCATAAGTACTGCCCGCTTCTGTGGAGACCGGAGGTCACGTGGAGGGATCTCAGAAGTCGCTCTGTGGCATCTGCTTCCACGGACTGTTGTATACCAGAAGTCGCTCTGTGGCATCTGCATCCACGGACTGTTGTATACCACAGTGGGGAGGGTTGCACTGCTGTTGTGCGAGATTTCCGAATGGACTCTTCTGGACGTGGCACCGAGAGCACAATTGGGGTAACAGGGGGGGGGGATGGGGAGATCTATCTGCATCACGTGACTTCCATAACCACTCCTTGGGTCACGTGTGAGAACCAACGTTGGTCAGCGAAGTCGAGGTGACGTTTGCCTGTCAACTCACGCAGGCCATGAGACAGTGGGTGGACATTCCACATTACTGTTGTGGGCACCAGTATAATTATAGAACAGGCACGGCTTCCTGTAGGGTAGGTGCTCGCTTTATCGATCCTGGATCGATGTGATGATGATTTTGAATTATATTATTCGTTGGTGATGTTTTGACAAGACTGGTGGGAGAGGCGTGTGACTATGATTCCATGATGGTGATGATAGTGGTACATTCATGATGCTCATCCATTCGAGCTGTGGTGGTACTACTCTTCACTGATGATGATGATGTGTCATGATGATATTGTTTAGATATGATTATTGATATTGTTCAGGGATAATTGATTATATTTGATGATGATGATGATGATACTCTGTATTCCATGATTACACCATTTCACCATATTGATAAATTCTGGAGATATTGTTGAATGGTGATTATAATTAATTACTCAGATTATATAATCAATGACGTAATTCATGGATGCCGTAATTATCTGTAATATTAAGCATCGGTGATCAAATTGAAAGATATCAATCAATAAAAACGATACCACTAAGTGATGGTAATATTATATGAATAATATCAGTGATGAGTAAATTAAACAATTGAGCTATACAATGCTTATATATAATTTAATCGTTTTAATTCCGTGGTAATGACGATGATAAACGTAATATGATTTAATGCTGATATTCAATCATGATTTTACATCATTGAGTTTACATCAATGCTATTCCATAATACTGTAATGACATGTTACGATTATAATCAGTGATGATGATGGATGACGTTATCATTCAATAAAAGTCAGAGTGATCTACTGCGGCTCAAACTTGCATTGCGACATCGTTACCCATCTCCTGTTCACAGCCTTGCAGAGCCACTGGTGGAAATTCCACGTTCCTATTCTGGGACTGAGTGATCCATAGGACAACCCACTGTCGACTTCCCCACAAGAAGTGGTATTTATTTTATCGACCCTGGCAGGGATGATGGCCTGAGTCACCCCCCCTCCCGCCCTTCCGCGCCAAACAATTTTTTAATTCGTAACCTTCAAGTGTCTGCTTTGCTCTACCGCTGGGCCAGTTCGTACTGGTGCCAGTACGAACTCAAACGATGACTACAGCAATCACGTTAATGTCAGGAGGCGACCCATTAACCTTCACTTGACCTTGCCCCTCGAGTCTCTAAGACGCGTGCCCGACACATCCATCCCGCGGGTCGCATCGCTCGCGGCGACATGAAATGAATACAGCAAATCAACACGGACAGGAGCGAGGGGGGCACACAAATGTTTATGATATCGCATTGATCGGCGCGTGCGTGTGCGTGTTGTTGTTGTTCCTGCGAGCCGGGCAGGGGTTCCGCCACCGAGACGACAGCAGCAGCATCCCGGGCTGGAGTGGCGAGCGAACGCGGTCTCGGCGAGAGAGCCACACCGTGGAGATCGATACGCGGACCAAAAGTGTCAATCGAGCAGCAGCAACAGGGTTAATGATCAGTATGTATGCGAACTTATTTCACGCCGTACGTAGTAGCTCTACCGCGCGTGGGTTGGGTGCCCCCCCCCCATCCCTACAGCCCCTGGATCTCTGGCGCAGTTGCACCGCCTGCACACTTATAGGTTTGCTACGCCACTGCTGTTATTGATTACACATTCCATACATCACAGCAATAATCAATACCATACCAACAGACTCGCTCAACCACAACCACCACACAGCCAACCACATCTCTCACCACACGATCACACCCCCAAAACCACTACAAAGACAAAGATCCCCCGGAAAGTCTTAACATAAATACACATACAACATAAATATACATACAACAAACATATACATACAACATGCGTATACATACAACATGCGGATACATAAAACATGC